CGACAACTATGAACCTAGGAGTAAAGAGGTTACAGAAATAGTTGCAAAAAAGGTTGAAAATACTTTCAAAAAGTCATCTATTCCTATAGTTTCACACACCAGAGTTGTACAAATGCTCAGCACATACCATAAGATATTTCTGACTCTTAAACAAATGTTTTTAAGGAACCCAATAGGTTTGAGCTCCTTCCGGGTCAGCTGAGGATGAGACGCAAGCTATATGGCAACATTAACAAGACAATTCAGTTGATGTGGAACATCTAGAAGTTGTCGGTGCTGACGGCACAAACACGAACACAGGTTGGAAAGGTGGAATCATTCGGAAACTAGAAGAAAGAATAAGTAGGCCATTACAGTGGGTTGTTTGTCTTCTACATTTCAACGAACYTCCATKTCGTGCTCTTTTCGAACACATAGATGGTGTCTCAAAGAGTCCAAWTACATTCTCTGGCGACATAGGTAAACTGCTCCCTGATTGTGAGAAGTTGCCAGTTGTCAAATTTGAAAGTTTTCCATCCTGCCAATTACCTTCTGAGGTTATTAATCCGACCCAACTTAGCACAGACCAAGCTTATCTCTATAGAATATCAGAAGCTGTTATTTATGGTCAATGTTCCTCAGATTTAGCGTCGATGCAGCCAGGTAGCATGTGCAAATCTCGCTGGCTCACCTGTGCAAATGGAATTCTAAGATTATACATTTCTACTGACAAACTAACAAAGGAAATAAAGATTTTGGTCAAGTACATACTTACAGTTTACTCACCTTTGCGGTTCTCAATAAGATTCAACAGTTCAATCAAAGATGGCTCGCGCCATCTCTATGCTGCAATTCAAAGGTCGAGATACCTGCTAAACTGCGCAAGGTTGTCGATTCATCCATTCAACAGAATGCTTTATTTTTTCTTCCAGAAAACATTCTYCTTAGTATGATGACTGACGAACGGATTGAAGTCAGAAAGTTCGCCTTTGACCGTCTTCTGGCAGCCAGAGAAGCAGAGTCTGACACTGTAAATGGAAGAGTTAGATGTAATAAAGTGCCAAAGCTGAATTTCAAAGCTAATAATTATTACGATATGATTAACTGGAAGACTATTACCTTGACTATTCCACCAGTTCTCTGTTCAGTTTCTAACGAAGAACTCCTAAAAGGGCTGTCGGGTGACACTGCAGAGGTATGGAAGTTTAGTGAATTCCCCTCTCTCACCGTGGCAGTCGATAGAACCTTCAAACTAGTGACAGAGGCGTCTTCTAAAATGATTGGCAACCAATCTCGTGATCGCTTTATATCTCGGGAATGGTTCGTCCTACGGCCATGATCACACAAACCATTTCGGTAGGAAATGACGTGACAAATAACTTTTGTTTTATACATTTAGCCATGAGATGCGTATTTCAGGCGCTAGGTACACAATTTCACGAATTTTAGGCGAATTTCCGAGACTTCAAGGCCAGAGTTGGGGTTGAAGATGCAATCCGATCTCAAAACAAAAAGTTGCTTTGGAATCAGGAAGTACTAAGGCAACTTTTTCGCACTATTAGAAATCCCGAATCGAAAAAAGTCCAGAATCTACCCACCCTACTCTGTACTATCTTAATGACCACGCTTTCTTCCAGACGAAAAAATTCACATTTAGTAGTTCTTTTTCGTACTCAGCAGGTTACTTTATTATGCTTGAGATAGTAATCAGAGAAATCGTAAACTCGTTTGCAACTTCACTTTTCTTCTCACCTTCCTCTATTTTTTCAATTAACTTCTTCTTTTCAGCAATCGTCAAACATTTATACTTTCGAAGGCTCATAAGACAAACTATATAAAAAAAAAAATTATTGATTTAGTTCGAATTATAAAGATATTCTGTAGGGGACTCGTGATAATTTTGAATTATAGAGATATTCGAATTATCCAGGTTTGAATTAGCGAGAGCCGACGGGATATTGTTTTCTCTAAAAAATCCAAAACAATATTAAGTCCAAGGAAGGAAAAACTTAATGTCAATGGCATGCTTGCTTGTTCCGTCTTTTTTCTATTCCTGATGCAGCGCTAGCAGGTGTCATCAAACTATAGTGTTGATAAGGGTTTGCTATTATGTTTTAAAAAATTATTTCGGGCCGCGAGTCGAATAAATTGCAGCCGAGAGGCTTAATTTTCAACTACTTTTCCCGAAAATTTGGCCATATATCAGCAATAAGGCGCCAAATATTCTCTGCCAAGACGGCAATCGTCATGTCGATCTTCATATAACCCCAGAAAATATAGTACAGCGGTGTTAAATCGCACCATCTTGAAGGCCACGCCACAGGCCCACCAAGCAATATTTTCATTAGCTGGATAGCATGATGCGCCGTCCTCTTGGGACAATCTTCAATTCATTCACGAAAAAGACCTTAATGGTGTCTTTGTAACGTTCTCCACTGACTGTAACATAATTCTAACTGTAAATATGTACCAATGATTCTCTTTGCCCATATAGTTACATTTTGGGGATGTAACGACGTCTCAATAATGACTGGTGTATTATCATCAAAATTTTCTTTTGAAAATCCAAATCGGTGGCTATCTCTTTTTGGGCCCCACGATCCGTGGCTTTTCAAACTAACGACTCTGCTGGCGAGTATGTCGACCGGATATTTGACGGTGTTCCGGAATAATTCTGTTCATTATTAAATGGACAACAAAACTGGTCAAGTAAAATCTTTCAAAATGATCAAGTCCACAAAAAAGTATCACCTTATTAAAAATCACATTTCTAAAAAACATCCATTACTACTATTTAACACTAACCATGGTAGAAAATGATGCATATGTCGTTAGTCAAACTCCCTTTTTTAACATGTTTCTATATTTTGTTTGATAGAGTAACGAAAATATTTATATGCAGTACTATATGGCGTTGAACTAAAGAATATCCAATATTAAACGTACAGTTAATTTTTATGAAAATTATAAGATCTTATATTAGGTATATAGAAGATAGTATTGACCAGATTTTAGCTATTTTTTTGCCAATACCACATGCATTTATAGGGCCACAGACTAAAACAATGTAAAATGTTCCTAATATTTCATCAAGGTTCCTCACTGACCCTCACTTATCACTAATCATATTGAGTAAAGTCAAACGGGTATTCGAAAATTCTGATATTGGTTAGATGAAGGCAAGGTCCAGTTTTCGTACAATTTTATCCATTTTAGGCACAAAGATACATTGCTCTGTTCTGGAGCTTGAATAGTTGTCGTTCGATTCGGACGAATTTTGGTCATAAGGTAGTATACTTCGAAGGCACTAACTTTTAATTCGTTGTACTAATTAATTCTTGGAATATTGAAAGGAATTTAAAAGTGTGTTGTACAGGAAGTAGGCGTGGTTGTATTCCGATTTCGCTAGTTTTCATAATGTGAATTAGGAATTTCAAAATAATGTCATATACTGAATTTAGTTGAAATCGGTCGAGCAGGTCCCAAGATATGTAATTTTACTGTGATTAAGTTAGCACATTGCTTAAATATTTTTCTTGGATGAATATACATATGTATATCTTATATAAAAAGTCTGCACTGATTCAACTTATAGTACACAAAAAACGCTTTAGAATTTAGCATTTTATTTTTGTACTCTGCACTATTCACTTCGTCGTGTTAAAAACTTCAGAAGCGAAATGTGAACAGCAGAATTGGGAGTTCAACGGAATGATGTTAAAAACAAGTAAGGAAGCCCTAAGTTCGGGTGCAACCGAGCTCCTGCAACTTTCAAGAATCAAAGCCAGGAAAATATCTAAAGATGGATGTAAACCGTAACTAGAGGATCGGAAATTAAACAATTTTATATTCACATCTACTATAGAAAAAGAAAACAATTTCATGTAGTATATGGGAGTTGGGGTAGTATCGACCGGATTTTATATATTATATATTATCATGCCACATACTGAGGAAATATAAATGGATGATGATGAGGATATGAGAGGAATTCCACGCACCGAAATCGGTCGTTCGGGTTCTGAGATACAGGATTTCACCAAAAAGTGTGAATATTTGAGTTTATATTATTGCCGTGTGTGACCAGCCAGTAACGAAGTAAAGACATTTATTTTTTCAAACAGGACATCTTTTGTTACAACTCGAAAAAAGTCTAGTAACGCGATAAATTACGCTAACACTAAATAAGTAACATTAGAGAAATTAGTATAAAATGTTGCGGACTCTAAATTAGGTATTGAACAATAAAAAAATAATACCATTGGTAGTTATTTTGGTCTTGTTCACAACGAATAGTAAGTCATTTCTGTTTTGCAATGTGTCACCAAGTGATGCGTAGGGTTTATTCACTTGATCTCCCCAATGGAATACATCTCTTGATTACATCAGATGGGATGTTAGCCGGTACCAAAGTGTATCTAGGACCATAAAACTTCAAACGAATATTGCCTCCAAATTAGTATAAAATTTGAATGTAAAATATTAGATATCATAAGGAAATAAATAGTCTTTAAAGGTTTACCTAATCCTTTAGATAGAGAATTCTAGTATATATGTAATACAAAAACCAAATCAGAAAGGTTGATCTTAATGTGTAAGGAATATAAATCTATAACTATGAAAGAACGCGAGTTTATGTAAGTTGTAGACAATCATTTTCTTAACAGGATTGATCATTATCGACCGGTTCTGAACAACGCTAAAGTATATATTCAAATGAGATAGCTTCTATTCGATATTTGCAGTTTATGGAATAGGGCGCGACAAAGAAACAATAGTTCCGCTCATATCTCTTTTAACCCGGTATTCGGGGGATGGTATTCCAAGGTATTTTTTGTTTTTAACCGAAAATGTCCACTTTTTTATCTTAATTGATTTTTCAATATCTTATAAGAAATTTTAAATCCAAAATTAAACAGCCGATCAAGTAACATTATACAAACACATTAAAAAAATAATGCTTATACAAATTTACGCGTTGAATTTCCAATGACATATACTCATATTACTTTCTTTAACAGGTTTGGTTCCAAAACTCACGTGCCAAAGATAAAAAATCACGCAATCAACGTTTTACTGCAATATCCGATGACAGTAACTACGAGGACGCTTCGCAAAATAACCGAGATTACGGACTGTTTCAAAAAAATGCATTGAAATCCACTAAAAGACACGGCAGTAAGGACGCGAACTTCTTACCTGACGCTAATATTAGTAATAACACCAACACTGGAATGGAATTGGGCGGATGTAATTTATCCCAACTGTCTCAAGTAAACATTCCGCAACATGCCTTATCTATTAAGCACATATGTAAAGTAAAAAAGTTATTGGAGAAAACCGCTGTTGATGTCAAACTTAATATCGATTCGAAAATATTTTCAACTGCAGGGACTGATGACAACGTAGAATATGGGAATAAGCAAAGTGCAACTAACAAGCCAAATACTAACGATGATTTAAAAGAAAGAAAATATGTCACGAGTGACGAAGCTAATTTTAACAGCGCTCAGGATAGTAATTTCAGGGCGCATATGGATACCGATATTGCCGGCAGCGATAGACTTGGCACATTTACGAGAATATATAAGGAACTTAAACTACAAAATGCAAAGAAACGGGCCATCGATTATACATCCAATAACAAAAACAACGAATTAATGGAATGTTATGAACGTGACAATATTCATGATGAAAGCAATGGACTAACAGCAAACGACCTGAGTTACAATCGATGCAAAGGGCTACAACCACAGATTACTAAACGGACTTCAGAAGAAAATTATAAAAGACCAGAAAGCTATAATATTGTTAATTTGACTTACAGTGCAGAAGATATTGACAACACTGATAATAAAAGCAGTAACGGAAATAAAAAATGTGGCCAACATGTCGAAGAATACGATTATAAGCATTACAATAACCTGAACAACAAAGTAATGAAAACGCAATATAATATTAACGATAGCGAACGCAGCAGCAGCAAAAGTAAATTTTTTTTTTCAAACACACCGCTGGTAACCAGTATTACTGACGATGAGCATACGTATATAGGCGAATACAAGGATAGTAGTGATGGGAATACACAAGATCTAAATGATAATAATGAGACCAAACAAAACCCATCAACCAGAAATAAAAAAATAACAGCAAACAGTAGCAGCACATCTTGTACATTAACAACCAGTACAACGCATACGCAATTAACCAATGCACATGAAAAAAATATTATTCAGCAATTACTCAATTGTAATCAAATAACTGGTAAGTTTCATGAAATGCATGCGGAAAATCAGTGCGCTTAAGTCCTGATATACATAATGTATATATACACTAAATATGTATAAAAATATTATGTGTAACGTTATCGAATAATTTATATGTCTCTAACCGAGTAAAAGTATAACAATATCACTACATAGCTCTCAATTGACTAACTATCAAATAATTTCGCATCACCATACTCTTTACGCTTACCATATGGTACATATGTGGTATATGCTATTGACAATTCGTAGCGAATGTCGTTTATTAAACTAACTCTTTATCTAGTTTCAAAAAAAAGTTCAAATGCCAGCTTTTATACGATCCGTATCTCCATAGAATTTTATTCCGTAATTCTTATCTTTTGTCATTATTTCTTTGATTATTATTGACTGAGTCCTGAATATATCAAATCGCGTAGTTTACGTTAATAGTTGGCAACAGTATCCAAAAAAACATATAATTTAACTTTCATGCATTCCTAATAGTGGCCAACTTACTACGAAAATATTTAGAAAAGATCGATGCTCCAATTGTTATCTCGAAAACTCTATGGTATGTCGTCAAGTATAATGCAAAACAACATATCATCCAACAAGTAAAAAGCGCTAAGTTCGGGGGCGACCGAACATGTTATACTCTTGACTCTTGCAAGCCAGGGAATTATTTTAAGGTGTAAAACGACAACCTTAGGATCGAAATCTAAGCAATTTTATACATATATGTGAAAAACGAATGACCAACTAAGTCCGATTTTTAGAAATAAAAAGGACTAGACTAATTTCCATTGCACAATATAATTTGGTGTTTTATTCAACTTTCTGCGTTGACGTCTGTTATCCAAGTGAAGTGTCCGTTATTGGTTTTGTTCCGTTCGCGTCCCTTTCGTTCAATCAGTGTTGTTGTGTATCAAAAACATTCAGTCCGAAGACTCATATTTCATCGTCCCAAACTCGAACATTCCTGACTACTTATTCAAATAACGTTTTGTTTCCACATAGTCCACAGCAGTCGACGTTGTCTTAGGTCCCTCATTATTTCCCACCTTTTCTACTCCATATCGATCGTGTTTGAGTCGTTTAGTTACTTTGTATATAACTTAGGCCGTCTGATTGCAACCAAATCATTTACGTTATATTCAATTGCCTTTTTACGTTTTATATTGAATGACTTCGTATTTTCTTCTTGAAATTTCTGTATGTTTTCTTTAGCTATTTCATGTAATTTATCACGTCCATCGTTTAAGCCCCTAACTGCTTCATTCTCTAAAATTTCGTATAAGGCAAGGTCTTCTTTTATCCCCATGTCGCAACCTGTTAAATTCTTAAATGGGGCCTGTTTTGTACTTCGATTTGGAGAATTATTTATAAATTTCTGAACCTTCCCGACATACTTGTACCACTGTGAGCTATTCGGATGAGGTAACTTAGCTAACATTTGTATTAGTACCATATGTATTCGTTCCATTTGTCCGTTTCCTCTTGTCGAATACTATTATTATCGCAATAACTCCTAAAAGCTTTTGAAGTGAACACTGATTTCCAATTAGATATAATTCTAGGCCGAAAATGTCAGTTTGCTCGTAAGCCTGTCTATAACCACCTCCGCGCTTGTATCTTTGGGTAGGTTGGGTAGAGCAACACAAATTTTGTAAAAACGTCGATCATAACTAGGATATATTTGTACTGTTTCTCGGTCGTTGCCATTGGGCATACATGATTTATGTGAAATGTCCCTAAAGGATAATCTTCTTTCTCAATTGACGACAAAAATCCTTCCAATTTACCACACTTTGTGTTCATTGTTAAACATTCAACACAACTGTTGATTACATTTATGACTTTTTCCTCGTGGCCTGGAATGTAGTAGTATTTTCCTGCACAATCATTAGTCTTTTAATTGAAAAATCCCATTACTTATGTGCTATCAAAATGATCTTATTCTGCATTTGTTTTGAAGAGATAAAAAAGTATCGTTAAGAATTGTTTTCCAGTATTTTGCGAATTGCCCGCACCCATTCACCCTTTTCTTGTGCCTCTTTTAATCTGTGCTGTAACGATTCGTCTACTAACATACACTCTAATCTACTTAAAGCATCGACATGCTTTATTTTTTCCTGACCTATGTTCTATAGTATAATTAAATTCTTGCAAAAACATTGCCCATCTAGCTACTCGTGGCGGAACATCTTTCTTCCTTAATGTCATAGCGAATGACTTCATAAATACACTCTTCATTTCATTAATGCGTTGACGACGGCGAGCACTTCAAGTTCATAAGAATGATAGTTCTTTTCCGCTAAACTTGTTTTCTGGCTCATGAATTGCACTGGATGATATGCTTCATCCTCTGCCCTCTTTTGCAACATTACCGTGCCTTATCTCTGCTTGTATGTATCTGTATGAACTTCCGTTATTGCATTTGTGCCAAACGGCCTTTCAGTGTTACAAACGATATATATTTTCTGGGTCTTTCTTCGACAGGAACATGCAAAAATCCGTTAGCAAAATTGAATGTGGTAAACACTTTATATTCCTGGAACATCTAGCCATCGCTTTAAAATAATTTTATTTTCCCCGAGGTAAATTTTATTCTCTTTGGCTCTTATTAAACATTCAGCTTTTCAACTTCTAAAATTTTTACCGTATTGAGATTTGACAAATCATACGTTGGCTCCAGCTTCTGGATCTGGATCATCTATACAAAGCAGACTAAAAGCTGCTATTTCTGTCATTTCTGCATTTTTGTCATTATGACAAGTGTCTGGTTTATCTTTTATTAGAAACTCGTTAACTATTCGACTTGACCCAAAATTGAACGTCCAATTAACGCCGGATATTGAAGATCCCCATTGTTGACAATATGCAATATGATATCAGGTTGTCAAAAAAGTCTTGCGGTTTTTTTATTGAATTTTCAATTGTTAATAAAATTGGTTACAATAATGCGATTCAAGTCATATATGCGCCGTTATGTTCGATGACGCGTTCCCAACGAGATGTCAACTTCTAAATGCCCCTCTCATAGAAGCTCGCTTCCCTATTGGCAAAAAACTCGGAGAGATAATTTTCACAGGACTCTCTTGTGGCCAACTTCAGACTACCAAGCGCGTTCGCCATGGACAGAAACAGGTGGTAATCACTTGGTACGAGATCCGGAATATACGGTGGATGCAAAAGAACCTCCCATCCGAGCTCCCGGAGCTTCTGGCGCGTCACTAAAGATGTGTGTGGCCTGGCGTTGTCCTGATGAAAGACAATTCGGCCTCTGTTGATCAAAGATGGCCTCTTCTGCATGAGTGCTACCCTCAAGCGGTCCAGTTGTTGGCAGTCCCGGCAGGTCCGAATTGAGCGTTTGGCCATAGGGGAGCAGCTCATAGTGGATTATTCCCTGCCAATCCCACCTAAGACACAGAAGAACCTTCCGGGCCGTCAATCCAGGCTTGGCCACCGTCTGGGCCGCTTCACCGCTTTTCGACCACGACCATTTGCGCCTTACGTTATCGTAAGTGACCCACTTTTTATCGCCAGTCACCATACGCTTCAATAACGGGTCGATTTTGTTGCGATTCAAAAGCGATTCGCATGCGTCGATACGGTAAAAGATGTTTTTTGCGTCAATTCGTGTGGCTCCCATAAATCGAGCTTCTTAGTGACTCCAAACTTCTTCAAATGGTTTATAGGGGTTTGATGACTCATGCCCAGCTCTTGAGCGATGCTACGGCTGCTACTATGCCGGTCTCTTTCGACCAATTCAGCGATTTTATCGCAATTTCCAACGACTGGCCTTCCGGAGCCTGGCGCATCTTTGACCACCTCTACACCAGAACGATAACGTTTAAACCTTATTTATCTTTGTTTGGTTTTACTTTAAGATTAAGTTTTTCGACTATATCTACTCTGCTCAAACACATTCGACTGCAAGTATCAACCAACGAAGGAAAAATTACGTTCCCTACCTTTAGCATTTTTAACTTTAGTCCAAAATCCGCCTCTAAAGGTTTGAATTAATTGTATTCAAATTATCACTTTCGTTTGAACCGTCGGACATACGTTGCATTTATGGCCAACTTGGTAGCATTTGTAACATCTGGTTCGTGCAATTCTTTGCTGTATGCGAAGTTTCGCCATATTTGAAACATACGCGGTTTACAATTGAACGTTGAATATTTTCCTTCCTATCTTCCTTGAAATTAACTCCATTTGCAACTTCGACCTTTAGTTTATATTTAATTTTGTCATAAATTTTTATTATCTCTTTTGGTTTAATTTTGTATCAGGAATCCCTAGTATGAAATATTCTATTGCGCTAGCTTCCTCCTGTTTTACCCGCTTCCCTATTTCCATTAAGGCATATAAAAATTCAATAAATGTTTCGTTTTGTCTCTTTTGACGATTCCTTAAAAGTCTATGTCCCTAAGTTGATGAAAATAATATTTCGAATTCATCAATCAAAGCGTGTTTTAAAGATATCCAATCACGAATACCGGTTTGGCTTCGAATAATTGCCCACTACATGTGCATTTTCTTCAAAAGATTATGCCCATTGCTTTACTTCCTGCCCGTTTGTACCGTTAAATAACGCCAAACTTTCCCCAATTTCTCTAAATGCGAAATGCGGAACTGTGGGTGGCACCGGACCTTTACCCAACACACTTTCACAAATCGGCTCCACTGATTCGACCTCACTCTCGCTTTCATCATCATCGTTAAGATGACCGTAGCGTGTCAGAAGTCTGTCTCTTAATTTCTTCTTGCGTCCATTTGTCGGTAGGCCTCTTTTAACTAAATATAGTCTTAGTCTCCATTTTGAGTACTCTTTTACAAAGGTATGAATATTTATAATATTATATGATAATGTTAATTTAATAAAAAGTTAATTTAATATAAAAGTAACCTGTAATCCTCGTTGAACCAGAAACTGCCTCAGTCAAACCAGCCGTTCGAACTTTGTTGCTGACGATGAACGCTGCCGTCGCAAACAGATTTCTCCACCGCTTC